CACAGCATCCATTCTACAACCCATGAATCAAGGAGTCATTTCGATTTTCAAGTCTTATTATTTAAGACATACATTTTGTTAGACCATAGTTGCCGTAGTGATTCCTCTGATGGATTTGGGCAAAGTAAACTGAAATCCTTCTGGAAAAGATTTACCCACTATTCTAGATGCCATTAAGAAATTTGTGATTCATGAGAAGAGGTCATAATGTCAACATTAACAGGAGTTTCGAAGAAGTTGATTCCCAACCTCATGAATGACTTTGAGAGGTTCAAGATATCAGTGGAAGAAGTCACTGCAGATATGGTGGAATATCAAGACAATTAGAAATAGAAGTGGAACTTGAAAATGTGACTGGATTGCTGCAATTGCATGATAAAACTTGAATGGATAAGGACTTGCTTCTTATGAATGAAGGAAGAAAGTGGTTTCTTGAGATGCAATCTATTCCTGGTGAAGATGCTGTGAACATTGTTGAAATGACAACAAAGAATTTAGAATATTCCATAAACTTAGTTCATAAAGCAGTGGGAGGGTGTAAGAGGACTGATTCCAATTCTGAAAGAAGGTCTATCGTGGATAACATGCTATCAAACAGCATTTGATACAGATAAATCTTTCATGAAAGGAAGAGTCAATCAATACAGCAAATTTCATTGCTGTCTTATTTCAAGAAATTGCCACAGCCAACCTGACCTTCAGCAACCACCACTCCCATCAACACCGAGGGAAGACCCTCCACCAGCAAAATGATTACAACTCACTGAAGGCTCAGATTATTGTCAGCATTTTTTAACAACAAAATAATTTTAAGGTATGTACATCATTTTTTTAGATGTGATGCTACTACACACTTAATGGACCATAGTATAGTGTAAACATAACTTTTATATGCATTGGAAAACTAAAAAATTCATGTGACTTGCTTTGTTGCAATAACTTCATTGCAGTGGTCTGGAACCAAACCTGCAATATCTCCAAAATATGCCTGTACTAGCTTTCATAATAATGTAATAAAGACTAAATTGAGTCAAATTCAATATTCTCTTTCCAAATACTACATAAGATCATGGTATCAAAGATGTCAAAACCTCCCTGGTGGTCTAGTGGTTAGGATTCGGCGCTCTCTCTCAAAGATGTCAAGTTCAGATTATTCAGGACATAACTCTAAAACATCCCAGGCTGTTCTTTAAGATTTAAACACTTTGATCCAGTCCTTTATCAGCCTTCATCTTTACAGACTAAAGAGTTCAAATTATTAAAGTCAGTAACTCTATTCTAAATTCTTTAATGAGGCAAAGTTTCCTATAAGGTAGTGTTTCTTTAGTCTTATGACGATAGTTTTAATTTTCACCATTTTTATAAAAAGGCATTTCCTTATCTGAAAACTTTCACTATGGTAGCAGTGACTAATGACACAATTGACTTAGAAGTGTAAAACATTAGAACTAAAGGGAACTAAGAAGGTACATGCAATTTTCTCCTTTTACAAATGACGAAGCTGAGACCTAGTGCTGAGAAGCGACTTTCCTATAGTAAAACAACTAAAAACCTGAGCTAGAGCCCAACAAAACCGTGCTCTTCAAACTGTAGTCAGGACTAATCAATTATATGGGAGGGTGCCAGCATTTTAGAAAAGCAACAGAGTAGAAAATATCAAAGGCATTTCATACAATGAGGATAAATATTGTTTCATAAAACTTTTTTATCAGTTACATACATACACTGGATCATAATGTAAAAATACATTTATTATAATGATCAAAAAGTTTAGAAGTCATTGCAATATCTAATTCTTTGACTGGATTTTTAAAATTTATTCTTATTTTAAAATTATTAGAATTACTATTATGATGTAATTTATTATTATGACTTACTATAAGCTAATAAAAATATGTCTGCATTAAATACTAAATGCTGCCAATTTAAACCCATTTTTAGCCAGGCACAGTGACACACGCCTATAGTCCCAGCTACTTGAGAGGCTGAGGCACGTGGACTGCTTAAGCCCAGGAGTCTGAGGTTGCAGTAAGCTATGAGGACACCACTGCTCTCTAGCTCAGGCAACAGATAAAGATCCTGTCCCCCAAAAAATAAAAAAAAAAAAAAGATCGGTTTTGAATGTTGTACCCCATACCATAAGTGAACAGACTTTCTTTAAAATATCACATTTCTGTAGAGCTTAAATGTGTGATAGGTAGACAAGCTTTTTAAAATATCAAATTCTAGAATTCTGACCCTTAGCACACACTTGGAAAAAAAAATCAATCTCTGTGAAAAAACAGCGACCTCTAGTGGATTAGGTAACACTGGCATAATCCCTGCCCTTAAGAATTTAGAAATTAAAGTAACATTGATTCATCCAGATATAAAAGATACTGGTATGATTATAAACTTACAAGCATTCTATATATATATATATGTATATATATATCTATATATATATATTTAAGGGCTCTAGTTACGCTATACAATGGGACAAATGTATATTTATAGATTACTCACTAGTTTCTTCTAATCAAGTGGAATATAATGAATAGAATCTTAGTCTCATTTAGAATCTATCTATCACTAGCTTTAGAAATTTACTTAATCTTTCTGAACTTCTTTAATGAAGGGGTTGAATTAAATCTAAGGACCCTTTTAGCTCTTTAATTATGATTCTTTCTTCTTTTTCTTTTTTTTTTTTTGAGACAGAGTCTCGCTTTGTTGCCAGGCTAGAGTGAGTGCCGTGGCATCAGTGTAGCTCACAGCAACCTCAAACTCCTGGGCTCAAGCGATCCTCCTGCCTCAGCCTCCCTAGTAGCTGGGACTACAGGCATGTACCACCATGCCCGGCTAATTTTTTCTATATATATTAGTTGGCCAATTGATTTCTTTTTTATTTATAGTAGAGACGAGGTCTTGCTCTTGCTCAGGCTGGTTTCGAACTCCTGACCTTGAGCAATCCGCCCGCCTTGGCCTCCCAGAGTGCTAGGATTACAGGCGTGAGCCACCATGCCCGGCCTGATTCTTTCTTCTTTATTTCATTGTGTAAATCAATACCAGATTTAGTTCTGCTCAAAAAATGTGAGATGGCTCCTCAGTTCTTGAGTATGTACAAAACTTAGCCTGGTCCCTTGTTACTTGCCTATCGTTTTCCCCACCATATACCCTTTTATTTCACGTGGGCCAATGTTCAATACCTCAACCCATTCCCATGAATTTATTTTTTCACTTTTGCTTACAGTTTCTCATTATGTAATGTCCTAGCCTTGCTAATTTACATTACAGGTTCCCATTAAAGTCTATACGAAATTGTTTCACTCATGTATTTGTTCTGCCATCCCAATGATTGTTAAACTCACACATGCACATGCGTGTGTGTATACATACACGTAGCCTGCCAGATACTAAACACATATACTGCACACTCTGAATGTAAATTAAATTAAGTTGATTAGTTTAGATTAGAGAAAGAAAGGCCATTTTCATCTTTCTTTTTTAGTGAAATAAATAATGGTACAAAGATAAGGTAAAATTTCAAGAACCACAAAAAATGACAGGGCTTCAAGCTCTGGGAAAAAGTAGGCATTCTGAATATAGGATGGTTAAGATTTTATGAAAAGGTTAGAGGGAAGAACTCTAACCTTAAAATTAGCTAAAGGAAGGACCAATAACAATGTTTAAAGAAAACAGACATGGCAGGAAAGGTGGATTAGTAAATGGTTTTGAAGCAGTTGAAGTAGATATGAGAATGGCACAGAGTGTTAAATTTAAGAAGAATCTTTGGAAGCAAAGTTAAGTATAACCTAGGAAACACTGGTGGTAGTGGGGATTGAACATGTTGCTGACAGAGGGCAGAGGAGGCAATGGGCAACTCTGTTGAAAGAAATATTTAAAAGGAGGAAAAGAGAGTGATAAGTAAAAGGGTGCTGTTAGCTTTGACAATGCCACAATCTTTTATCTTCTAAGCAAGAAAGCTGCCAGGCTGGTAGTGAAATGATGAACAATTTAGTCATTATGTTTAATTCAATTAACAAAGGTCATAGGGTAGTATGTTTTACATATGCTAAACCACACAGGATTGGCAGGCAGAGGTGTCTGCCATCAAAGGTACTGTCATCAGTACGACTGATGTTAGTTGAATTAAGGGGGGTGTCATATCACCTTTGTATCAGATAAGACTTTAGGGTTTATTTTGGTTTTTTTTTTGAGGCAAAGATCTTTATTTAATCTGCATCTCATTGTGTTTAACTTATTATGTTTATTTAGCATACATCCTTTCCTATAAATATCACTGCCTTGTGTTATAATATTCTCTTTTAAACACAAATTATTTATTACCTCATTAAGCTTTGGAATTTCTAGACAATGTTTAATTACCTCAACAATTTTTGTCACCTTTGTTATATTATTATGCCACTTCACCCTCAAAAAATGTTTTCGATTTTAGCATATAGTAATGTTGCAAGTGTTTAAGTATTTCCCAAGAGGCAAAACCCTAGGAATGCCTACAAACCTTTTTTGCACAAAAAAAAAAAAAGACTTTTTAATTGACTTTAAATTTATAAAATATTATACTGATTTTAATAAAGATCAAATGAATTAGTAACCTGAACTTTTTAACCTTAGTAGATAGTTTCCTCACAGCTAAGTGAGTTTACTAGAATCCCAAGACCCAGTATCCTCTGAAAACATTTAACATTCTTACTCCAGGATTATTATATTATCAGGATTCATAGACATTAATGGCATAGTAGAAAACCAAAGTTAAAGTTCTGGTTTTGTGATTAAAGCTAAAACAGCAAATAAATAACATTTGTATGTATGAATTTTCTGACTTTAAATGTAAAATCCTTAACAGCTATGCTTAAAATATAACCATTTCTCCACAATTAAAATGTATAAAATGACAACATTCTACAGAAAACTAGACCTACTCTCAGCCTATCTCAAAAAGGAGAAAGAAATTATTAGAATATCCGAACAAATGTATATACATAAATGATTTAAATTACCTCTCTTCATCTCGAACCCACACTGGAGTTTTTGGAATTTGTGCTTCAAAAAATTTAGATGCTTGATAACAAAAATTGCTGCAAAAAGACTGAAAAGAACATTTTAAAACTAGTTTATTTTTTTCTTATTGTGAAATAACCTATATACAAAAGAGTACATAAATGTATAGTTCAAACCATAGAAAACCTACTAATCTACTCAAGGTAAGAAATCAGGTATAGTACCTTTGAAGGCCTCTATGTGCCCCTTCCCAACTGCACCGCCCTCCACTTCCCTCAGAGGTAACCTCTACCATGTATTTGGTATTAATCATTCTCTGGCTTTTCTTTAAGCCTTATAAAACATATTATCCAATTCAGCTTATTTTTTAAGCTTTATCTAAATGGAATAACATTTTTATATATTCTCGTCTTTTGTTCAAAATTGTTTTTTAAGATTCATTCATGTTGTAGCTTATTTGTTTTGTATATTACATTCCATTGTGTTAGTATATTACACTTTACTGATTATTGACAATTGAGTTTCTAATTTTTTTATTACAGAAATGTTACTATGAACATTTCTTTTACAATTTTTTAAAAATTATGGTAAAATATACATAAAAGTTATCCTCTTAACCATTTTCAAGTATATAGTTCAGTGGCATTAATTACTTTCACATTGTTGTGCAACCATCACCGCTGTTCATCTTTATAACTCTTTTCAACTTATGAAACAATACCATAGAACAATAACTCCTCATTCCCACCTCCCTTAGTGATCATTCTATTTTCTGTCTCTATAAATTTGACTACTTTAGGTATCTCATATAAGTGAAATCACACAATATTTGTCCACTTGTGCTGGCATATTTCACTTAACACAATGTCTTCAAGGTTCACCCATCTTGTACATGTGTCAGAATTTTCATTTTTTAAGGCTAAATAATATTCCATTGTATATTATGTGTGTATATAGCACATTTTGTTTATACAGCTATAAGCATTCTTATACATATATAATGGTGCACATGGGTAAGAATTTCTTTAGGGTATATACCAAGAAATAGATATATTTGGTCATATAGAATGTGCAAAATTGACTTTATGAGATAAATGCCAGTTTCTCAAAAAGGTGGTAACTTTTTTTTATCCCCACCAGCAGTATAAAGAGTTCCTAATGCTGTCAGAATTTTATAATTTCGCTATTTGGGGACTGTGAAAATGTGACTCAATTGTGTTTTTATTTGCTACTTACCTGATTACATTATTTTTTCATATGTTCATTAGCCATTCAAATTCCTTGTGTAAAATTTTTCTGTTTTTCTTATAGATTATATATTCTAGATATGAATTGTGGTCAGTTACATGTGGGGAATAAAACTTCTTATGATTTGTGGCTTATCTTTTCACTTTTTTAGAAACTTCTGATGAACAAAAGTTTTACATTTTAATGTAGGAATATTTATCAGTTTTTCCTCTGTAGGCTATAATTTTCTATCTTATTTAAGGAAGTCTCTCTACCCCAAGTTTATATGCTCCCATATTATCTTCAAAAAAGTTTATCTTTTACATTTAGGTCTTTAAACTACCTAAAATTGAGATAGGGGTCAATATTCATTTTTTTCCATCTGGATAAATAATTGTGCCAGTACAATTTATTGAAAATTCCATCCTTTCTCCACTTATCTACGATACTCCCATTGTCATGTATCAAGTGTCCACATATGTGGTGAGTCTGTTACTGGCTCTCTATTCTGTTCCATGATTTACTTGCCTAGATTTGTGCCAATATGCATTTTTAGTTTTTCAATGTTCAAGTCTTATCTAAAGCTTAAGTGAAGAACTTTTTAATATGGTGATTGAAATATTTACCAAAAACTCCCAAACTTTTAACATGGCTATTTTCTTTCTAATAGGTAAGATTTTTTTTTTTTTTTTTTGAGATAGAGTCTTGCTTTGTTGCCCAGGCTAGAGTGAGTGCCGCGGCATCAGCCTGGCTCACAGCAACCTCAATCTCCTGGGCTCAAGCAATCCTGGTGCCTCAGCCTCCCGAGTAGCTGGGACCACACGCATGCGCCACCATGCCTGGCTAATTTTTTCTATGTATATTAGTTGGCCAATTAATTTCTTTCTATTTATAGTAGAGACGGGGTCTCGCTCTTGCTCAGGCTGGTTTTGAACTCCTGACCTCGAGCAATCCGCCTGCCTCGGCCTCCCAGAGTGCTAGGATTACAGGCTTGAGCCACAGCGCTCGGCCTAACAGGTAAGATTTTAAACAGTTATTCTTAGAATCCTATGTAGTATCATTAAAAATTTACTATCACATTGAAAATAGCTCTTAAACTTACCTTTCTTTCAGTAATATCATAGACTTTATTGGTTTTGGTAGAAATTTTATATTTCTGTTTTGGTATCTAAAGAAAAGAAAGTACAGTTTACTAAAGAATCCAAGTAATAAATATGAACTTTATGAGATTAAGTCATTTACATCATACCTTTGGCCAACCCACATTAGTTAATAATGACCTCAGGTTTCATTTTTTATCTTACTACAAAGTATTTTGCTAAATAAAATACCTTTATATATATAAATATATTTTTTAAAGTAGTTACTTACAATTCCCAGCCTCTTCTGACATAAAGGATAACCACAGAGTTTGACAATAGAACGTTCGTCCACGACATCTCTGTAGTGAGCAGGTGAGATGAACTTCGCCTATAAAGAAATAAGAGGAGTATTTCCTCCCAGATTAATGGAAAAGTTCATTTATCAGCTCTCTAATCCTCATCTCTCTCATCTGAAAACATAGGGTTAACAATATTACCTACTGCATAAGTTTGAAGTCAGAATTGGAGGACAAAAAAAAAGGAAAAGCACTTAAAGAAGTGCTCAACATATAGTAAGCATTCAAAAAACGTTAGTTATTACTAAAAACAAGAAATTCTGCCACAGGGGACTATGCATCTTTGTAGATTATATAGTTTATGAAATAATTCTAAGACAGGAGGAGAAGTGTCACTATTGCTATACCAAAGCTAACTGATAATATCTTTTATTTTTAAAAAAGTATTATTGAAAAAACGAAACCACATAAAGTAATATAACTTTACCTATTTTTAAAAGCACAATCTTAAAAAACAAAGTATTTCTAAGGTGTCATTGTGACTGCTAAACAAATATTGGGCAAAATCTTCTGACTTCTGAAAAAACGGTACAGAATGAGTACAGGTGAGGAGATGGTTATAAGGTAACACCAAATATTTTCCTTTGACATCTTCATGTTCAAATAATCTCAATTCTTGTTTTATAACTTTGTGATCTTTTTGAACAATTGTTTTCTGTCTTCATTAGACTGAAATACTTTTTATTGAGAGTGATATAAGTTTTTTGTTTCAAATGAAGCATACATGTATTTGGTTTGTTTCTGTGTTCTTTGGTATCATCATAAATGTAGATTCTAATGTAGTTACCTATATCATTTTAAATACTGTCATGTTCATATTCCTGTTTAGAAAAATCTCTGAACCACATTAAGAATTATTTTTACAATAGAAGTTCTGAGTCATAATTTTTTCTCCTAAGGATTATAAGGATATAAAAGAAATTTCCATTCAAAATTTTAATGCAATAAAGCTGTTTAAAAATACAAAAAAATTTAATACACAGTATATTCTCTTGTTTTATGTTAAATAATAAATGATCTATATTTCAGGTTGGGTTTTTTTTTTTTTTTTGAGACAGAGTCTCATTCTGTTGCTGGGGCTAGAGTGCCATGGCATCAGCCTAGCTCACAGTAACCTCAAACTCCTGAGCTCAAGCAATCCTCCTGCCTAGGTCTGGCCTCCCAGAGTACAAGGATTACAGGTATATTTCAGGTTTTTGAAATGTCAAAATTAATGGAATTGACACTAACAAAAACAATAATCTTCTGTTAAATAGTATAACATAGAATATAGAAAACTGACATTGTGATCACTAGTGCAAACTGAGGAAAATCAAATGATGTTAGTAGACTGGTTAAAAGAGCTACAACTAAGGGGTCAAATATACTTATTTTTCTTTTTCCTTTTTATTTTTGACTGATAATAATTACATGTATTTGTGGGGTATGTGACATTTTGATGCATGCATATATTGTGGAATGTACAAATCAGGCTAATTAACATATCCATTACTTCAACATACTTCAGTTCTCTGTGGTGAGAACATTTAAAGTCCACTCTTGTAATAATTTTGAAATATACATTATTATTAACTATAATCACCTTGCTATGTACTAATATTTTTTCATTAGTGCATTTTGAGGTCATTATACAAGGGATGCATGATAGTTGATTATTTTTATTTTTTTAATTTTTATTTATTTATTTATTTTTTTGAGACAGAGTCTCGCTTTCTTGCCTAGGCTAGAGTGAGTGCCGTGGCGTCAGCCTAGCTCACAGCAACCTCAAACTCCTGGGCTCAAGCGATCCTGCTGCCTCAGCCTCCCAAGTAGCTGGGACTACAGGCACGAGCCACCATGCCCGGCTGATTTTTTTTATATTATATATATTAGTTGGCCAATTAATTTCTTTCTATTTTTTTATGGTAGAGACGGGGTCTCGCTCAGGCTGGTTTTGAACTCCTGACCTTGAGCAATCCGCCCGCCTTGGCCTCCCAGAGTGCTAGGATTACAGGCGTGAGCCACCGCGCCCGGCCCTGATTATTTTTAAATGCTCAAGTTATATAGCATTTTGCCTGCATCTAATGACTGAGAACAGACTCAAAGATTTTAATAATGCAAATAAATTTCATGTTATATAGATTAAAAGATGTTATACTATAAAACTAGTAATTTGTCAACACATACACACTCCATTAGGAAGTCTTCTGTAATATTCTCTTCTAAAAGCTGTTCAACAGTATGTAGAGCTTTTCTCTCAAACTCAATCTTCTTTCTCACAGCTGCTTCTAGTTCTGCTTTCCTAAAATTTGAACAAGATAATCTAATTATAAGCATTATCATGGCAAATACTCCATATTTTAAAATAAAACATAAATTTAAGCCACTATTTTGCCACTTACATTAAATTTATATATATATATATATTTTTTTTTAGAACCTTGGTCACTCTTTGAATAAATTTATATTTTTTAATGCTGTTACTTTTGATCCAATACTTTTCAAAATGGAAACACTGCTATTTGTTGCACTATATACATAGAAATCTGTCATAACGATTATTGCTGGGGCTCAGAGCACAAGGAAGCACTTAGAAATTCCCATAGAAAAGAAAATGAAGTGGAATTTTTTGGCCAGTTACAGTTTATACTCTATCATACCCAGGTATACATAAAAAGGGAGGCTTTTCTTTTGATAAGGAGCCAGAAAACAGTATAGATTCAAGAAAAAAAGGTGACTTTGGCTGTTCTTTTAAGTAAAAATTTGTGTCAAGTCCCAAAAGTTAACTGATGGCCTAGTTTGACAGTACAGAGTCACATTTGTAAAGAAGTGTTTAATTTTGTTGTGAATTCTTGTTAAATAACTAAATTGATATGATTGTGTGGTTTAAGAAAATAAAAATCTTCCTAGGATGGCCTATCCTTGTCATCAGTGGGACTCTTGTCAGCCTTTGCTGGCCCCTACATATAAAAGCAGAGGCCATCTGATCAAACATAGGACAGTGATTTCATAATCACTGTTGTAAAAACAGTTAATCAGATAAAACAGTTCTGTTGTTTTATTTATAATATACACATTCTAAGTGACATATATACACACACATATATGTACATACATCCACAAGATTTGGGGCATAAGTTATTTCTAGTTTTAGATTTACTTTGCTAAAATTAAAATTAATAATCTAATTTATGCCTTAGTGAAAATACAATGAAAATATTTATGAAGAATCACCTTAAAGATATTTTTAGGATGGTTACTTATTTTTGTTTTTTTAAACTGAGCTTTCAGGAACATCTTCAGGGCAATATAAATTGTGAAGAAAGGCATAGAATATACTTAGCTCAAACAGAAATGGCACTTTTAACAAAGAATTTGAATTTCATCTAAGAAAGGATAGAAAAGAAAGCAATGTACCTTGATGCTCATTCTTTCTGAAATAGCACATAGCAAAAACAAACCTAAGTTTTACATTGAACCTTTTACCTAATACCTCAGTAAACTCAAATCTAGTTTGTTTTAGTGTCAGGTACTCTTCTTCATTTTATAGATTATGAATCAGGATATTTAAGGTGACTCATAAAACAGTTAATGTCTAGAAACAGTGTTAAGTATAGTTCTCAGAAAAATTAAAAGAGAGAAAAATAATTTTTAAAGTACATTGGGTTCGTATGAGACGAATTAAGCAAAGGTGGTATCCTTACAACTTTTGGGGGGGTCTTTATTTTAACATTAATTAGAGGCAGCATGACATGGAAAGAGCTTGGACTTTGAAATCAGGACAGTGATTCTCAATCCCAGTTGCACATTAGGATCACCTGAGATTAAAAAAAAAAAAAAAAAAGTTCTATGCCTAGGTCCCATTACAGGCTAATTAAGTAGGAATGACTGAGGACATGGCCTAAGAAAATACATTGGTATTTCCAAGATAATCTTACTGTTCAATGGGGTTGAGAATCACTGACATAGGACTAAATATCAACTCTCTTGGTGATTTATTTGCTTTTTTCCTGCACTGGTTTTCACTTGCTTACCAGAATTACCTGTGCTGGCCTCCTGGACCTTAACCCAGCTCTCATATTTGGACTTAGAATGTGCTAACCTTTTCTTCCTATTTACATCCAAAACTTTAGATTCTAATTCCTTGTCTGGAGCAGTATGTTTTACAAAAACTGATATGGAGGACTGACAAAGTTTTGCCAAAAATTAATTTTGTCGTTTAGGGCAAACAATGAATTTTGCAAGTAACACCTATTCACACAGGCCATTTTATATCAAAGAAGTATAAAAGATATGAACACAGATTAAATGGCAGTTTTTTACATTTAATACATTTAGCTTCAAGAAAAACTCATTTTTCTCAGGTTGCTGCCTACCAGTAAAAGCTATGATCAGTACATAATCTGCATTAAGCAATTGCTGACTGAAGACGACATCAACTGCCTCAACCTGCAGTAACAGCCAGTCTCATTTTAATTGATAAATATAGACAGCTGCATTCCATGGACAGCACTGTCTCATTGCTGTCCTCTGTCCCAAATCACGATAGGCAATGTGGTACACAAAAGCAGTTCTCAAACTTTTTGGTCTCAGGATTCCTTTAAACTCTTAAAATGAGAGATTGTACTTATGTGGATTATATCTGTCAATATTTATCATATTAGGATTAAAACTGAGAAAGTTTTAAAGCATTTATTAATTCACTTAATAATTAACCAAATATATGTTAGTAACATTTTTAAATGAAAAAATTAGTGAGAAGAGTGGAATTGTTTTATATTCTTGCAAATCTCTTCAATGTCTGTGTGTGTGTGTGTTTTTTTTTTTTAAGAGACAGGGTCTCACTCTGTCACCCAGGCTGGAGTGTGGTGGCACAATCATAGCTCACTCTAATCTTGACCTTCTGGGCTCAAACAATCCTCCCATCTCAGCCTCCTGAGAAGCTGGAACTACAGGTGCACACCACCACACCTGGCTCATTTTTCTTTATTTTTGGTAGAGACAGGTTCTCCCTATGTTGCCCAGGCCGTCTCAAACTCCTGGGCTCAAACAATCCACCTCAGCCACCCACAGTGTTAGAATTACAGGTGTGAGCCACTATGTCTGGCTGTCTTAAAAGTATTCAGCTGGATTGAATATATAAATATTTTTCAGTTAGCATAAATTTATAGAGGGTGAGTCATTACCTCACTAGTATTACCCCCATGGACTTTTTTGTTTGTTTATTTGAAATTGGGTCCTGTTATGTTGCCCAGGATGGCCTTGAACTCCTGGGTTCAAGTTACCCTTCTATCTCAGCCTCCCCAGTGGCTGAGACTATAGACAGGTGCATGCCTGGCTCTCCATGGATATTTTTTTTTTCTTTTTATCAGGAAGAATCACATAGGTCCCTATGGCTTTTTAATTATTTCACCATCCTGGGTGATCTGCTCAAAATCAATTTCAGCTTATCTACATTCCTCAAATTGTAGGAAATGTAATCTCTACAGGTTTGTGGTCAGACGCATGTTGAGGAGAGTTGCAAATTACCATCATAATCAATATTAACTAAATCTTATTCTTGCAATATTTCCAAAAGCCAAGTCAGTATAATCATGCTGCTCCACAGGGAAATATTCTCTAAAATATATCTCAGATCCATTCAGTTTCTCCATTCCTAAATGATCACCATTTCTAATGTTTTAAAATTTAAATCTCATCAGTCCATTACTTAAAGTTTTCCTATTCGCACTTAAAAAAATCTAAATTTCTCACCAGGGCCTACTAGGTACTATATGAACAGAATTCTGCCCCCTCTCTAACCTTTTCTTCCTTTGCTTAGAATGCTGCACACTATCCTAGGCATCTCTCCTTTTTTTGAACTGGCCAAGCTTTTTCTTGTCTCAGGGTCTTTACACATACTGTCACTTCTGGCCGGAGGTCTTTCCTCACTACTCTTTGCTTAACACCTACTTAGCCTTCAGGTCTTTCCTTATTACTTCTACCATAGCCAATCTCCCTGCCACCTCTGAAACTAAACTGGACTTCTGTTATTAGTTCCTCCTAACATCATAGTCTTTTCCTCTATAGCACATCTAACACAATTTGTAATTACATATTTATTTGTATTAATTATTATTTCTCTGTTATACTAGGTAAGAACTGTGTCAATTCTGTTCAACACCATATCCCCAGAGCATAACACAGGCCTAGAATATTTTATACTTGGTAAATAATTTTTAAAAGAATGAGTAAATTATGACCAAAGCCAATAAAAGATGAGTCTTGACAAAACGAAAAATCACAGCTATATATTTTTTAATCCCTTTCATAGACTACTCCTATTCTAGAAAACTATTTTGACATGAGATAATATCTTGTTGCTAAGGCTGGAGTGCAGTGGCACCATTACAGCTCACTGCAACCTTGAACACCTAGGCTCAAGCAATCCTCCCACCTCCGCCTCCCCAGTAGCTGGGATTACAGGTGTGTGCTATCACACCTGGCTAATTTTTTAATGTTTTTTAGAGATGGAGTCTCACTATGTTGCCCAGGCTAATTCTGAACTCCTAGCCCCGAGCAAATCCACCTACAAGTCTCCCAAAGTCCTGGGATTACAGGCGTCATCCAGCTTGCCTGGCTCAGGACAGCTTCTTGATAAAAATCTAGATTTGATGTAACAAAGAACAGAAAAAGTTTCCTGGAGTAATAAAGAGAAACTTGGACAATGAATCTCCGGCATTGTCCAGGGAGATGATAAAAGACAATAAAAGGAGAAGCAATAAAAGGAGAATATACCCAAAGAGGTTGAAAAGGAATACCTGGTTATTTCAGAAATGTTTGTTCCCACAGACACCTTTCTAGCCATACTCATAACCTCCACTAGCAGTTAGTCTAAGACTGTCTAGTTTGGTTTTCTTAAAGCCTGGAGTAGAAGGATGTAACAGTCTACATGAGAATTTATAGTAGTGCTTCCCAGATCTTCCCTTTTCTTCTCATAATTTTTCTCTACAAAAGTAACCATGATTGTTTTAAAATTGGTTCAAATAATATGAGATAGAGACATGAATGCAACTGTCCAAGTAGTTCTCATACCTTTTAGAAGCATCTTCTTGTTTCAAAGCACTTGCCTGTTTAGTACCTACAATTAAAAAAATATATATATAACAGTCATGTGCCACATAATCACATTTTGTAAGCCATGGACTGCATATAGAAGGTGGTCCTGTAAGATTACAATACTATATTTTTACTGTACCTTTTCTATGCTTAGATACACAAATAGCATTGTGTTCCAACTGCCTACAGTATTCAGTGAGTAACATGCTGTACAAGTTTCTAGCCTAGGAGCAACAGGGTCTGCCATATAGCCTAAGTGTGTAGCTACATCATGTAGGTTTGTGTAAGTGCATACTGTGATACTCACACAACAATGAAATCACCTAACGAAGCATTTCTCAGAAGCATCCCCCTGGTTAGGCCATTTATGAGCATAGAAGATCAAGTCTACACAAACATACTAGGTACAGCATAGATTCCTGCCCAAATAACAAACTATACACCATCTTTTCATTTCTACACATTTATTTCCAATCATGTATGTAAATTAAAAAGAAATAGTAAGGAAATTAAATTTGTTTCTGTTAATTGATTACGCTAAATTTTCTTGGTTAAAATGTATCTCTTTGGGGATTGAATTTTCTCAAGTTATCACAGTTGCTTAGTTAATTAAGCACTCCTGTAAATCTGAGACCTGGGTACTTTTAGGAGAAATCTCTCTCGATTCCCCAAATGTTCGCTCCCGAGGGAAGAGGGGAATCCCACGTCCCAGAAAAACCGCACCAAAACAGTCTGGGAGGAGGACCGGTCCTAGGTTCAACACCAAGTGCACACAGCCTGCTGACCCTACACTGGTCCCTTGCCTAGCCTGGGGTCACAGCCCTGGGCACATGGCATCTCCTCTGCCGTTTTTCTCAGAGGGTGGGGAAAATCTTATAGCGTTTGTGTTAAAGGGACAGGGTCGAACCGAGTAGTTCTTCCCCAGAAGGTGCGAGGGCGGCGGTGGGAAGCGCTTTCTTGGCCTTCTCTACTCAAGAGGTCCCCTCCTGCGGGGCAGCTTCTCGAGCGCGCCCTGCGCGCCTTGGTCTGGGCCCAGTTCTCAGGGTCCCAGCGTGGAAAAAGCCCTTTCCTACCTGCGGCGTTTCGGGAGGAGCGGTGAGCCCCGGCCTTGCGGCCGACGGAACGCGACGCGGCCCAGTCAGCCATGGGGACTAGCCGGGAGACGCGCCGACACCAGCCCAGGCGTTTCCCCTGGAAGCCCCGCCTCTCCGCGCGTGACGCGGGGCGGGACGGGGGCGGGGCCAGGAGGGCGGCCTGCGCGGCCGGAGGTGGTGGCGGCTGAGAGGGGCTCCCGGTCTGGCTGGTAAGCGGGCTCCCGGAGAGGTCTGGGGCGGCTGTGGGGCGCGGTTGGCCGGGAGCCGTGGAGGACTCGGTGCCACGGGCCGACAGGGCCCCGCCAAGTGGTGGGGCCCAGACGCCTACGAATAGGAATCGGGAGAAATGGCTTCCTCTGGATGCCATCCGCACGCGCGCTGGGGTGTTACCTTACTTCGAACGCGCTGCCTTGAGGACCCGGCTGACCCGTGCACCTACTGGGGGCTTGGGGCCGAGCCTTCCCGCTGGGAATAAAGCTGGTCTGCGGGTGCGGATTGGTGTCCTCCTCCGGAGGGCCGTGGATTGCCTTGTCTCCGTGTGATACAGTCATTGATTTGATTGATTACTTTGGGGACTGCAACGCCTAGAGAGAAATAGGTTGGAGGGCATCTGAACCTTCACCTTTGGATGACCTAGTTTTGTGTTGCAACCTAATTTTTGTCAAGGGGGACATTAAAAAATAAAAAATCCCCTAATGATTAGAATTTTGATTTCAAGTCCACGTTTTAGAAAATTTTTTCAGGAAAGAAATACTTTGTCTTTTTAAAGCTCTTTAGTTCCTATTTGTCTCACCCCTTGGGAGTGTATTGCCAACCCCTCCTCACTCCCGCTCCACTCCCCAACCCACTTTTAAGGTATTTTCCAAAACTCTGCTCCTAGAAAACTTAAAAGGTGAAATGAGAGGAGAAATACAATAGGGGCTTTTTTAAAAAGAAAACTTTTTAAGGTTGACATACATTCAGTAATAACATTTCAACTTCAAAACTATGCTTTCTTTATTGTGTTTACTGATAATCTTATCAGAATGCAACATAATTTATGAATGATTAAATGTAATACCCCAGTTAACAGTGTTATATATTAGTACGTTTCAGCATCAAAACTAGGAAGAACAACTAGGAATGGCTGTGGAGGAACTTCAATCCATAATAAAAAGATGTGTAAGTAATTTTCTTTTTGTTTTTGTAAAATCAAATACGTTTCAAAATACAGGACAGGCACAGATTATTTTTAATTACATTTGTGGTCACTCAGATTCTTTTTTAATCCCTCTTTTCTTGATTTGTAAATAGCATGAGGGCAGTAAGGCAGATTGGATTATTTATCCAGGTGACATACTTGTCTAACCTTTTTAATTTTAATACTGATCTTTTTCATAGATTTCTTTGGTACTTTGGATTTCAGTATCATTCATTAAAGTATTTATTAGGGTAATCTTAATTTTCATACCTGTATGTATGTGTAATTTATCTAGAATTTAAACAGATTTCCTTTTTTCAGAGAGATAAATCAAGAAGTTATGTATTTTTATTTGCATACATGTTTGTTTTGCTTTTTTCCAGCAAATCCTAGGAGAGCAAGACTTTAAAGAAGAAGATTTTGGCCTATTTCAGTTAGCTGGTCAAAAATGCATAGAAGAAGGGCACATAGACCAGCTATTAGAAATTATTCAAAATGAGAAGAATAAGGTAAGTACTTTTTTAGTCTTGGGAAGAAAACAATCACATAATGCTATTATACATCAATTCATTTATCAAACATTTAAGAATCAACTTAAATTTTCACAGTAGGAAACTTGTGGAAAACAAAAAAGGAATTAGGAATATTGAAGGTGCTTATATTCTGGTGGAAGATAAAAACATGTAAACAACTAACAATAAGGCAGAATAAATGAAAGAACTGCTGTAGTTGAAGTAAAGGTCTTTAGAAGAAACAGGAAACTTCTGGTTTAGGGGACCAAAAACTGACATTTGAGTCATTAATTTACCTTGTGAAATATAAGTATTAATATCAGGCAGGCTAGATAATCATTTTTGGTGATTAGACAGTTCTCCTTCTGCAGCCAAATGTGTATGGAAAACCAAATTTTAAGTACAGTGTTTTTTGTGCATAAAATCAGAATGGGGGAGAGCTGGATGTTCTTACTAGTCATTATAATCCACTTATAATAGTCTGAATATAATCATTCTCCACAATGGGAAAGGATCTTGTTTGTGGATCAGGAACATCTTCCTGGGAAACAGTGTTGCCAGATTTTGTCCTTGGATTCCCCTTCTTAGGAGTATAAAGAAGACCATTTTCTTTCTAGGATCATGCTCTTTTTTCATTTATAGTGCTACTTATTTATGTTGAAATTTTCTCTGTTGTTATCACAATGTAGTTATGCTGGCCTCTTTTTTTATCCACGGCACTTTGATTGCATTTGAGAGATTCCTAAAACTTTCTAATCGTACATTGTTATAGAATCCCTTAATAGTTCAAGTGGCTTATCCCTTTTTATTTTTTATTGGAAAAATTAAGATATTTAATTTTGGTTTTGATATGTGTTTTTCATAATTTTGTAGCCCATACTACAGTAAATTTCATGATTTTTTTGAACTCTTCTTGATTTTTTCCAATTGGATTCTCAGAGGATAACCTTTGAGAATACTTATCTTTTAGGTAATAATTATAGAATTAATAACAACTCATACTTTTTGGGTATTTACTGTATGCCAAATGCTGTATTAAGTGCTTTACATCTATTATTTAGGCTTGCTAGAATCCCATAAGATAGGTACTACTGTTAAATTCATTTTATAGATAAGGAAACAATCACTGAAAGGTTAAACGACTTGCCACAAAGTAACTTGGCTTTTATATGACATCCAGGATTCAGAGCTGTGTAGCCTGGTTTTGGAGCTCTTAACCATCTGCTCTACCTTTGGTTAGCATTTGTAGCATTGGCAAGGAGGTTTTAGGGTGGAATGGAGGGGACTGATTCATTGTGTGAGTGAGAGAGGGTGAAGTATCAAAGATGACTGGGTTTCTAGCCTCTGAAAGGATAATAGATGATATCCTGAACAGAAAAAGGCAACCTAAGTAGAGGAGAAAGTTTCCTGAAGAAAGACAAGTGAATTGTCTATTAGAAATTTTGAGTTTAAGATGCCGTAAGCAATTGGGAAGTAAGGTTTTTAGCTCCATGGAGATGTAGGAAATGAAGATGTAGATTTGTGCATGACTATTAAAGATTAGGTAATTGAAGCATTGAGGGGGAGAAAAAGAATTTGCTTGAGTTCACATAAAACGGGGAGAAGAGAAGAGGCCCAGGATCCACTCTTGAGGAATGTAAGGAACAGATAGAGAGGAACAGGTTTGCCAAGGAGATGAGGGTCAGCACTGTTATCAGTGAGGCAGAGGGAGAAGGGAAGAATGTCCAAATTGTTGGCATTGCATACCTGAATATTTTATTTTTAGCATGCTTCTAAATAGCTTATGGTATAGATTTAAGCATAATGAGGCTTAGTCTTAATAGCTTGGGAATCACCTTTATAATGTGTGGTTGATTAAGTGCAAAGGTTCAGATATTGATAAGACAATGTTTAAAACTGACTACAATTTAATTTTCTTGCCAGGTGACACTATCAAGATTGATTAAGATTTATTATTCTGCTTTGTGAGAGAATAGACCACATTCATATAACTTTTATTATAGTATATTGTTATAATTGTTCTATTTTCTTATTAATCTTTTAATTTATAAATTAAACTTTATCATAGATATGTGTGTATTAAAAAAAGCATAGTGTAAATAGTGTGCCTTACTATTTGTGGTTTCAGGCACTCGCTGGACGTCTTGGAATGTATCCCCTACAGACAGGAGGGACTGCATCTGTAGAGTACATTGTATTCTACCTTTATTATCTTATAAGACTAGGGTCAGGATGGGGTATTAAATATGTCATTTTGTCTTCTTCGTAGATCTGCTTTTTTAAGAATGAGCCTAGATTGTAAACTCCAAGAGCATAGAGGACTTATCTGATGTGTTCCTTGCTTTATTTCTAGCACCTAGAATATTATGTAGCATATGCTTGGTAAATACCGATGATTTGAAGTACAAAGCCAGAGGAGTATATTGTTGATAATTTCAAACATCTGTGGTTTTAATAATGAATGTGAATTACTAATTATAAAGATAAACTTTTACTTGTGTGATAAGCATTCTGAAATATCTTTGAAAATAGAAGCAACTTGTATTAGGGGAGAAAATTAATGAAGTTGCATCTGTTCTTTTTATATAAATTACAATGGTTATAATATATTTAGAGAGTCTCCAAGGAACTTTAAAAGTGCACAAGCATTGGCTAGATTTCTTTAGGAATCAGGGGAGCAGAATTCTTTGTAGAAGTTAAGTACTTGCTAATATTAAACAAATTAGCTCTCTTGTTGGAAATAGAGGAAATATTTAAATTGTGGGAAAGATCACCAGACCTGATAAAGAGGAAACACCCTTTGTCTTTCATCAATGACTGTATTAAAAACTATTTTAAAATGTTGATATCTGTTAGCAGCCAGCCCTAAAAAGTCCCTGTGAAATGTCATTGGCCTCATTTACCTCATCTTTTCTATTTCAGAGAAAATTCTAAGCCCTTCCAAGTTAGGAAAGCACACTGTGGGAGTCCTATAGGTGGCAGTGTTTGCTTTACTCTGAAAATGTTTTTCTAGGTCATCATCAAGAATATGGGCTGGAATCTTGTTGGTCCTGTTGTTCGATGTCTTTTAAGGAATGATAAAGATGATGATGAGAGAAAAGTTTATTTTGTGATGCTTGATTTATTGGTACAGGTAAGTTAACAAATCTAGGTTTTCTTTGGCATAACAAATAGCAGTATTTTATAAGTCCCTTTAATGTTTGTTGTTTGGTAAGAAAGCTTTAGTTTATAAAATACAGGCAGAAGGGAGGTCTTTGGAGAAAAGACCCAATCTTATTGATTAGATGGGCAATTCCATTTTGGCATTTCCCAAATTTTCTGGATATAAGAATTATCTAACCTCATATCAGACCCAGTGATTCAGAATCTACAGGGAGAGACCTGGGAAGTTGTATTTTTAGCAAGTAGCCTTATTGTATAGATGTGGAATTCAAGATTTAGAGAGGTAGGTCAAAGCCATACTTATATTTTGGCAACATTGGAAGTAGAGTAAAAATCTCATTGCTCTTTACTGTATGGTATATTCCCTAAAAGAAAATGAAAAACCTAGAATACAAGTGATCACAATGGAATTGGGAACAGGGAATAGAACACTGATCTGTTGTGGCTGACCACCTTAGAAAGAGACCCTTGGTAAAAGGTTATTAGAGTTAAAAGTCAATAGATGATGGCTAAGAAAAATTCTGTGGAAAAGGACTTTATAAGAAACTACTTGGATCAGTGCAAATATATACAAATATATACTTTCTTACATAGAGACCTCCAACTACATATGAATTATTGACTATGAGGTCTTTTGCAGGCAAGTTAGTTGATAAAATATGGCCAGTCAGAAAGCAATGCAAAGTTTTATTTGTTCAGGAAGTATAAGAGACTCTGGACTAGTCTAAATACCCTTACAGTGTGAGTTTGAAAGGTCCCACCTGCTAGAAGCCCTCAGAATCTATTAAGACAGCCTTCAAAGTAGACAGGTGATGCTCAAAGGAAACTTGAGGTTTGGTGATCAGGCATCTCCTTTTCCATGCTTCTGTAATTTTTCCTTTAGCCAAGAATTTAAGTCTCTAAAATGTAGTTGCCCATTTAAAGACCCTTTGACTTCTTGCTCCTATTTAGTTTTACAGTGATTTGACCATCACAGAATCTGTGTTTGTCTAATGCATTTTTTTAACAATTATATGAGGCTTTTGCTGTTAAGCAAAAATAATTACATTTTTTCAGTATATGCCTTCTTAAAAATAGTAATCATTTGGCTTTAAATACAACTTGTATTAAACAGGTTCAATTGTGAATATTTTTATAGTTATGTAATCCAAAGGAATTATTGTTGGGTTTGCTTGAACTGATTGAAGAGCCCTCTGGAAAACAGATCTCCCAAATTTTCCTTATTTTACTTCAGCCATTACAAACAGGTAATGAACATTTTGATATCAAAGTATTTCTTCTTTTATCTATGTGTACCTTAATGCTTACCTTCAAATGTTAACCCTATACCAGAGTAACATTTACAGCTAATGTGTGAGTACTCTGCTTAAACTAATAACAACAATGCCAATTTGAATACTACTGCTCATAGAAAGATGATAGTACCTGGCACAGAGTGGGTACCCAATAAATATTCTGTCGAATGTCATACTATTTTTCATGTTTATTGTAACCTATAGCTTTTTGCCTAACCTTCCTATCTTCAGCTTATATCTACAGTTTTCCCTCTGTGGTTTCTGTAGTACTCAGAGTGGTAGTCCTGTATCTTGGTTAAGAGGAGTATTAGGGCATTGCTCAGCCTCTGCATTGGGAGGTTGGGTTATGCTTAGCAAAGGTACTACCAAAGAATGAAACTATGAGGTGTGAAATGACAGGGCTCCATAACTGAAGTATTGGCAATAATACTGGAAAACAAGTATAATAACAGTATTGGTAAGTGATGGGTCTTGGCAGCCATGGAAGACAGTATTTATCCCTGGGAAGAGGCTATTTTTCATTTTAGGAAATACTAATATCTTGGAGTCTGATAGAGGGGCCCAGAATCAGAAATTAGAGTAAATTTGTTTTGTTTTGTTTTTGAGACAGGGTCACTCTGCTGCCCAGGCTAGAGTGCTGCAGCATCATCATACCTCCCTACAACTTCAAATTCCTGGGCTCAAGTGGTTCTCCTGCCTCAGCCTCCTTAAAAGCTGGGATTATAGGCATGTACCACCATGCCTGGATAATTTTTTAAAATTTCTTGTACAGACCAAGTTTCACTTTGTTGTTTAGGCTGGTTTCAAACCTCTGGTCTCAGACAGTCCTCCTGCCTTGGCCTCCCAACGTACTAGGATTATAGGTGTGACTCACTGTGCCCAGCGAAATTTATTTTAAATATGAATGCCCACCAGCTTTGTACCACTTGTTAATATTCAGTCTTCTAGGGGAAAAAAAACTAATAATACTACCTACCTCCCATTTGTACAGTGCTTTATAGTTTACAAGACACTCATATTTTATGCTTATAACAACCAAAAAAATATGGAAAGAATGTGTTTCTGTCTTAAGTATGTAGCCTGTTATAAACATACCTAAACGAGATTTTATGGCATCTGTTGTAAGATACCCTATTATTTTATACATATCTAAGAAGGAAAAAAACATCACAATTAAGCTATGATATGTAGTCCTGATTTCAGAGTTGTTAAAATGGGGTGGAAGGGGAAGTGCCTTATAATTCTACATTTACTGAACTTCTTGTCCCATGTTTAGCATACTTGATTAGGCTACCACAAGTAACAGCTTGATCTTTGTTGTAGTGATTCAGAAACTTCACAACAAGGCATATTCAGTTGGACTAGCATTGTCTACTCTTTGGAGTCAGCTATCTCTTCTTCCTGTTCCATATTCAAAAGAACAAATACAAACAGATGACTATGGGCTTTGTCAATGTTGCAAGGCCTTAATAGAGTTCACCAAACCTTTTGTGGAAGAAGTCATTGATGACAAAGAAAACTTACTGGAAGATGAAAATGAAAAGCTAAAAGATGAATTACTGAAATTGTAAGTGTATTTTTAAGAACATCTTACAGTAGACTTAAATAATTGATAGTTTGGTTATTTTATGCTTGCTTGCCATGTAAATATAAGTCTAGTTTCATAGTTTGAATTTTAGAAAAGTATGGGGTTCTGCTGATACAGGCATATTTAATTGAGGTATTGATATTTTAAAAAATTGTAAAATCTAAAATTCATTCATTTAATTTGCTTTATATTCTGCTATATATTGCCTTTATTCATCATAGTAAGTAAATAATGAAGGTGGGGGAAATAAGTACATGTAACTCAAAGAATCTGCTTTTTCTGTGTGGAAAATATGTTTTTACTTACCCTTTGAAAGTAGCAGCAGGACCACCAGACAGTTGAACATCCAGCTTGACCACAAAAGCAGTAGCAGAGTACCCACCCAATAGCATTCACTCCAGGAATGCTATAGACTAAGCATGCATTGTTCAATATGGCTGTCAAGCACTTGGCATATGTCTAATCTACATTCACATGTGTTATAAGTATAAAATACCCCTTGGAGTTTGAAGAATTGTAATTAAAAAAAAAATAGTAAAATACCTGAATAAGTTTTATATGGATAACATGTTGAAATGATAATATTTAAGATATATTGGTTAAGATAAATTACTAAAATTAATTTTTCCTGTTTCTTACTACTTTTTCACTTGACTACTAAAATATTATATATGGGGCTTTATGGGATAATACTGGATTACATTATTGAATTACATGGACCAATAATTTTTTAATTGTGGATATTAAAGCTATTGTTAATCTTTAATTTTATTAGGTTAGAACATTTAAAATTTTTTTACCATTAATAAAACCTGTTATTTCATAAAAGAAAAGATATTTTAACTAAAGAAATAGGAAAGGCTTAATTATAGAATAAAGTTTGGTTTCCTAAGTAAATACAGCATTATGAAAATAATTACTATATTGTCCCACTTCTTTTTCTTGAACTAATGGAAACTATATCATGGACTAGCACTGGTCCTCAGACAAACATTCAGAATCCAGTGGAATGTTCCAGACATAGAAGTGATTCTTACTATGTTGAGTCTAGCAAGGTGTTCTCATGTTTTCCTCATTACTAGTACGAAGATGTTATATAACCAGTTTTATAGGCCATTGAATGATTGGTACTTGTCTTAGTCTAATTGTGCTGATATAATAATACCTGACTGAGGTGAGTGATTTATAATGAACAGAAATTCACTGGTTCACAGCTCTGGAGGCTGGGAAATACAAGATCAAGGTGCTGACATCTGGCAAGGGCCTTCTTGCTGCGGAAGGTGGAAAAACAAAGAGAAAAAAAGGGGCTGAATTTGCCCTTTAATAATGTCATTAATCCCACACACGAAGGCAGAGCTCTCCTGACCTAATCACCTCTGAAAGATTCCACCTCTTAATACTGTTACAGTGGCACTTAAATTTCAACTTGCATTTTGGAGGTGACAGACATTCAAATAACATAGCAGTGCTTATGTTATTTTTCAAGTAAAATTAAGCTAGATATGAACTAGGCATTTTATGCTTGGGAAGTGTTGATTTCATAATTACTTACTTCCTATGCCTTAGTTGTTTCAAAAGCTTGAAATGCCCTTTGCTGATGGCACAATTCCTTGAACAATGTGAAGAAGCTGGAAATGATCCTTTAAGATATTTTGCATCTGAAATAATAGTAAGTATAGCTAATTTAATCTGCTATAACTCTATAATCTAAAATGTTATCCTTCTATATTCTCATGTATAGCACATTGGCGTGTAAATTGATACATTTATTTAAAAAGCAGTATGTATTTTTTGTAGAACACAGATAAGCAAAAAAGATAGAAAATAAAACATCCAAAGACAAATACTTTAACATCTTCCAGACTTTTTTCTGCATATGTACTCATAAATAAGAAAATGTATGCATATGTAAATTTTCCAGAGATTATATATGTACTCTTTTTAGTCTATTTTCTTCTCTTTAACAGTATATTATGAATGTTTTTCCATTGGCTTAATGTTATTCCATGGTATGGATGTGACATAATGTATTTAACCTGTGCCATATAGTTCAACATTTAGATTGTTTCCAATTTTTCATTATTATAAAACAACTCCAACTTTTCTTTTCTAACTGTTAAATCTGCTATATTACAAATATCCTTGTAACTAAATCTTTACATTCTTCTTTAATCATTTCCTTAAAGTTCCTAGAAGTGGAATTTCTGTGCCCAGAAAATCCTCATTTTTAAGTCCCATGATAAACAATTTAAAAATAGCTCCATAAATAAGTAAAATTTATTTTAAAAACATTTGGTTTTATGCATAAAGAGTATTTTAAAATGTGCTGGGATTCTGTATTAGGGAAATATTCTGAAATATTAAAAATGTACTTGACGTTGATGCTCATTAATTTTAAAAAAGAGCAGTCAGTGTGACTGGGTGGTTTTCTTCAGTCCTGTTCAGCTGCACAAGTGCAGGTGCAGTATAGGAGGAAAGTTAGGTTTAATTAGGTTGGGGTTTTTTTTTTTTTTGGTTTTGTTTTTGAGACAGAGTCTTTCTTCGTTGCCCTGGGTAGAGTGCAGTGGTGACATTGTAGCTCACTGCAACCTCCAATTCGTTGGCTCAAGTGATCCTTCTACCTCAGCCTCCCGAGTAGCTAGGAATACAGGCTCATGCCACTGTGCCTAGCTAATTTTTTCTATTTTTGGTAGAGATGGAGTCTTGCTCTTGCTCAGGCTGGTAGGTTGGGGTTTTGAGAACTGGATAAGTTAGTTCTACAAAGCAAGAGAGGGGCAAAGGATTCAGCATGTATGCAAGGGAGTGACTTTAATGATAGACGTGGAATTTAAGCTGGGTAAGGAGGAAAGTTAGGACATACTAAATGTGAGAGATTGTGAAAAGATGATAAGATAACTAGGTTGTAGATCTTGTTGTGTATGACACATTGTTAAGAGTTAGGTTACTAGGAGGAGCAAGGTAAAAAAACAAAAAAAACATAGGAAGGGAAGTGAGATAACAGGGTGCTTGAAATTAGTATTATGGAAAGGTTACAGTTACTTTTAACAATGTCTGGTGTATGACCAAGGGAGTGAGTATTCTAAAGGAGAGGGTAGAGGCCAAGAACATTGGACTAGAGAAAATGAAGTACCTGAGATTTCAGGGTATTAAAATATCTTTGTACATTTAAATCAAACAGAATTATGATGTTGGAAAGCCAGTTAATGGAATGACCTTAGAGTCTAATGATCACAACAAAGGGGTAGAAGTGGTAAAATCACAAAATGAGTTTCAAACCAAGGGATTTTAGAGAGGAAGGGAGAGAATGGTCTAGAAGCAGCAAGGAGAAGAACAGGTATTATACTTCCAGGCTCAGTGATACAATGGGTATGGATGAAAAAAATAGCATCCCTTTGAGAAGGTTACAAAGAAAACATTTGTTTTCAGAGGAAAACCAAATTTCATTTAGAGCCAAAGAGGTAAGAGACCATTGAGAGAAGAATGGATTTTGCTGACAACTCTTGAATTCCAGAGCCCATGATTGAAGGGTTTCTGAAATTTGAGGAGGGGAAAGGGGTCAGAAGAGGGGCTCCAGAACTTCATGGGAACTAAATTCTGAGGAGGAGAGGTGACTTGGTGACTGATACCAATAGGGATTCATTATTTAATGAGGTTAATCCTGATAGTCAAGATAGTGAAGAGGCTGTGAGAGGAAGAGGAAAGAGAGGTGAAGGATATTCCCAGGAGTACACAAAAATCTCCTCTGTGTTGCCAATGCTAGAGTATGGTGTCATCTCTTGGATATAATATAAATACTACCATATGTGGTATGTGTACTCTATTTTGAGAAGATGGCTAGAAATGCTGGAAACTGTTAAAGAATTTCTGATATAGGAAAAATCAAACTCAGTTTCTCCTGCTATACTTTCACAACAAGCTTCTGACACCAGATGTGTGGGGGTTTTCCCCTGCAAATCAGTTCTGCAGCAGACAACAGGTAGGTGTCCTCTAATTCAATTCCAACACCGTCTACCTGGAGATAGCATCAGATCCCACAGGTTGAGGGCTCAGTCCAAGACTGCCCCCGACTTTCAATGCCATTCATAAGCCCCAGTTGTTCTTGTACCCATTCTCTGACTGACTGGGTTTGATTAATTTGCTAGAGTGGCCCAAAGAACTCAGGAAAACACATTTAATGATTTATTATAAAGGATATTTCAAAGGATATAGATGAAGAGATATATGGGGGAAGGAGTTCAGAGCTTCCATGCCCTCCCTGAGCCTGCTGCCCTCCAGGAACCTCCACAACATTTTGGATTATTATTATTTTTTTTAAACAGAGACAGGCTCTCACACTGTCAACCAGGCTAGAGTACAGTGGCATAATCATAGCTTACTACAGCCTCGAATGCCTGGGCTCAAGAAATTCTGCCTCAGCCTCCCAAGTAGCTAGGTGTACACCACCATGCCCAGCTAATTTGTAAATCTTTTTGTAGAGATGAGATCTACTATGCCCAGACTGGTCTTAAATTCCTGGCCTCAAGTGATCGTCTTGTCTCATTCTCCCAAAGTGCTGGGATTACAGGTGTGTGCCACTATGCCCAGCCCCTTTTGGATTTTTATAGATTTTTATTTTTACTTCATTATAGAGGCATGATTGATTATATCATCGACCATTGGTGATCAACTTAACCTTGAGCATCTCTCCCTTTCCCGGAGGTTGAGGGGTGGGACTGAAAGTTTCAACCCTCATCTGATCACATGGTTCACTCCCCTGCAGCCAGCCCCCATTGTGAGGCTGTCCAGGAGACCTAGCCATCAATCAGCTCAACAATATACAGAAAGATACTTATTGTTTTGGAGATTACAAGGATTTTAGGAGGGTATGCCAGGAAATGAGGACAAGGAGCAAATATATTTCATAGTATCACAGATGTTAAACCTGGGAGTGATGTAATCAAACTGTATTTTGGATTTATCACTTTAAAGGAAGATGAATTTAACTGGAATAAAATTGGGAGTATGGAGACTGGTTAAGTGTCCCTTACAGTTAAGTGAGAAATGCTGGTAACCTGACTATGGATATAGTCATAAAGATGAAGACAGGGCAGATTTGAGAACTCTATAGTAGGTAAAACAGGCAAAATTTGGTCATTGATTGGGTCCAGAATAAAACATGGATAAGTATTTTTTTTCCCTTCTTGGGTAACTGGGCAGAGGAAGATGGCAATAATTGAGATAGAGTAACAGAGCAAGGAGCATGGAGTCTGTACTTTTAAAAAATGTATTATGAACATATAAAAACATTCAGAAAAGTAGAAAGAATAATATAACACACTCCCATGTATCCATCACCCACCTTCAATAATTATTGACATTTTGCCACTCTTCTTTCATCTATCCTCCTCCTTTTCTTGCTCTAGTAAGAAGCAAATCCTAGACATATTTCATCCATAGGTCTTTAAGTATGCTTCCTAATGATAAGGACTTTAAAAAAAATAATCACAATGCTATTATGGCACTTAAGAATATTAACAATAATTTCTTAATATATATCTAAAAACCAAGTTTCTAAGTGAAGTTTTTGAGTCAGAATAGATGAGATCACCTAAAAAGGTAGATCAGTGTGAGAAGAGTATAGGGCTCAGGACTGAACCCTAGAGAGTGTTAGTACTTAAGCCCACCAAAGAGACCAAGAATGAAAAGTCAAAGAGATGGTGGAAATATCACAGAAACTGGTGTAGTAGAGTTACAGGAAGAAAAAAGTGACCAGTACCACTAAATGTAACAAAAAGAGCCATGAGCTAAGAGTTGAAAAACAGCCAATGGATTTAGGAAGAAAGATGGTATTGATAATCTCAGCAAGAACAGTTTACATGTAGTGTTGGAGACAAAAATCAGAGTGGAGCGTGGTGGCCACACCTGTAGTCCTACTTACTTAGGAAGTTGAGGCAGGAGGATAACGTGAGCTCAGGAGTTTGAGGTTGCAGTGAGCTGTGATTGTGCCACTGCACTTCACCCTGGGCAATAGAGCAAGACTCTCTTAAAAAAAAGAAAATCAGAGTGGAGTGGGTGAAAGAATGAATGAAAAATGAGAAAAAGAAGATGACTAGCATAAGCTATTCTTTACAAGAGTTTGGATGAGAGGAGGAGAGGTGATAACTAGAAGTCATGGGCTAAGGGTAGGAAGGTAATGGGGGAGATGGGGAGACTTGAGCATATCTACAGGTCAATGGAGTGTAAACCATTAGAGGGGAAAAGACAAGTATTTATGGGATAACCAAAATAATGTGGCTTAAGAACAGATGGCTGGACATAGGATCAAGGATGTGAAAGGACTTCTGGAGAGGAAGGGGTAAAAATGGGTATTGAGGTAAGAATGCATGTCAAAAAAATTGTAGCAGGAATGGGATATTATAATTGAGGGGAATCAAATCCATTGGCCTCAGATTTCTAGGTGAAGGAGAGATGATCTCTTAATAAAGAGATAGAGGTCAGGGGTGATGGCTTACGCCTATAATCCCAGCACTTTGGAAGCTTGAGAGAGGGGGATAACTTGAGTGTAGGAGTTTGAGACCAGCCTGGGCAACATAGCGAGACTCCATCTCTACAAAAAATATTTTTAAAAAATTAGCCAGGCATGTTGGCATATGACTACTTAGGAAGCTGAAGCAGGAGGATCGCTTGAGA